GTTCAGAAGAGCTGTTTATATTAATGAGCTCAGTTGGTAACGCCCTCCAAAAATCTATTGACATTGACTCCACCCTCCAAAGCCAGCGTTTACGTGTGAGACCCAGAGGCAGAGTCGTGGTCTCAGCTTTCTCTTTTTTTTCTCCCCCTCCTCTGCTCTGCGCTCACTCTGCATGCTGTTACCAGAGCAGGGAGCAGCAGTGGTCAAAATACCTCAGAAACTCGAACAAATAGGCTTTAACAAGGCGTTAATAAGCTAAACTATAGAGGTACATGAGAAAACGTGCTCATAACGAATGAAAATAAATAAATAAATTGCGTCCATGCTGATCTCAAACCCTGGTCTCCCACTCTCTAGTCCAACACTCTACCCATTGCCCTATTGGAGGCTTGTTGTAAAATGAGCTGCACATTGCATAACAACACGGTGATGGCTTTTTATACTGAGGAGGAGGAGCTTCACCCGGGGGTTGCTAGGTAAGGGGCTGATCGCAGATCTGGTGGGTTGTCATATGGCTTGTGACATCACAAAATGACGGAAGTATAAAACTTGGCGTTAATACACATTAAAAATACATTTACTTACAGTAAATATGCCCCTGGGTGCATTTTTTGGTCCTAGGACTATTTTTTTTAGGAAGTACATACCCAAAGTTGAGTAAAAAAAACCTTTAAAAAGTGAATTTTGCATAATAGGTCCCCTTTAAAGACTAATAAGAAAAGAAAACGTGCTAAAGTCTGTTCAGTAATCATGACCTCTGTTTTATTAGACGTGGTCGTGTCCCATCTGCCGGGGGATGTGTAACTGCAGTCTGTGTCGTAAGAAGGAGGGCCGCTGTGCCACGGGGATCCTGGTGGGCCTGGCCCGCTACAAAGGTCACGACAACGTCCACGAGTATTTGGAGAGGTAGGTTTCCTGTCAGTCACACGCAGGGATGCAGCAGAGCTAAAAGCGCCGTGATGTAAAAGCCCCGCCCCCTTTTCTCTGTTTCAGTATTCAGAAGCAGCTGCAGTGAACTCCCTAAAGCCCTGATACCTGGAGGGATTCTGGTGGTCCACAGTGACGTACAAACCATTTTACTGCACGTTGTTTTTAGACTTACTGTTTTATCACACTCAAAATGTTCTTTAAGATACGACATACCCTGTGCATGTTTTAAACATATCCTGGTTAGGACTGCATGGGATGCAGGCGTGGGATGCAGGCGTGCTGTTAAGTTGGTTGAGTTGCACATTTTCTGACGTTGGTTTTTTATTTTTTTTGTTAGTTTGTTTTGTGTTCATTCAGAAAAATATGTCTGAATTTGTGGAAACAGAACCTTTTTGTACAAGCATTTTTTTTAAACTAGAAACTCTGCAGCATTCTCATCGTACTACTGTATATTTTAATAAAGGTTTGCATAATTAAAATACTCTGCACTTTTTTTTGTAATTGCCCAGATGTAGTTAAAACAAAATGTTTACATGCATGTATGAGAAGTCAAGATTTTGGTTTTACTTCCATACTTCCTGTTTGCTTTAAGTGTAATGCTACAATTTAATTAGCTCTTTACACATCGTATAGCTGAGGAAACAGCAGGATCAACAAACCTGATTTGTCCCAAGATGATCAGTTACAATTATATAAATGTCAGCCCAATACGCTAGTTATTTGTATTCTAAATTCTATATTTCTAACTCTAATTTATTTTATTTCTTCAAGTGATCACTTTATAAACTTGACTGTGACCCGTCCTTTGAGTCCTTGCTAGCGTTTTTTTTATCTTTTGTTTTTTAAAAAGTTTCTCACAGTTTGTTTCCTCGTCTGAACAATCGGAAAGTTTAGAATGACGAGATTTGATCTCAGATTTTTTTTTTTTTAATTTCTGTCGTCACTCCCGAGGAAACCAGAATACGTAAACCTTTTTTTTTCTCCACGCAAACACCAGAGCTTGCAAGGAAATTTAAGACACACTTTATTGTCAAGTGTTAAGCAGGCAAAAGCATGTTTTTCTGCTTCGAATTTCTTTTTAGTTTTTATTTGACATACCACATTTGTACAAACCAGTTTTAAAAATATCAATAAACTGGAGCCTTTAAGGCTAACCTGACAAAAAACCCATTATCAAATGTCATGGAGACGGACAAACATCTTTTTAGAAAAAGATTTACAAATGAGATGTCACTACAAAATAGAAAAGAAAAGAAAAAAGTTAGTCGTCACACAAAAAAGATTTGAAAACATCTAAAGTCGTTTGGTATCAACCCTTTTTCAGATAAGGACAATAGCTTTTTTTAAAAGTTTTTTTTTTTGCTTTCTTCTTTTTTGTTCTTTTTGTTCCTCCAAAAACACATTATGGCGCAAAGAGAGAGAAAAAGTTCAACTGAAGAGCAACAATCGGGCGTAACGAAAATCAAATAAAAAGCAGCACTACGGCGAAGAACTGAAACATGCTGTACACAAGAATCAACGCACACAAATACGAGTCCAGCGAAAGGCAAATATTACAAATCAAGGATAAATTATAAATTAGCCATACACAGTGGGGTCCTGTGTAATAACAACTCTCGGAGCGAGGCGTTAAAAAGAAAACTGGTTAAATTCTATGAAATAAATGTCGATTTATTTATTTTTTTAAATAAATAAAAAAAAATTACGCACTGAACTAACACAGACCAACATCACCGGAAAATATTATTATATCCACACAGCTAAACAGCCCGACCCTTCTGCCGCTCTCCAACTTTGTTTTTACTTGAACTGCTCCTGCTTTGGCCCCTCTTTACCTCTGTCTGAAAAAGACAGCTTTTAATTGGACGACGGGGTTGAATCAGTCATACTGCAGGTTAGAGRTGAGGAGGGCTTCTCACCAAAGCACAAGCAGCATTAAAAGGATCGTTCAGATCATTTAAAGTGCGGTTCTATGGARCTGTTATGAACAATCAGCATTTTATTTGTTGTAGATATATCTTTAAACATCCCCAGTTTGGAGAAATGGATTCATTTTGAACAGATTTGCGTTCTAAAGGCTACATGGAAATGGCTTGTTTCTGTCTTAAAACAACTTCCACCTAAAAGAAAAATGGTGTCTGGTGTCCATTTCACATTACAGCTGTATTTTTTTTCCTTGAAAACGTCRTCTACCTCTGCTGTCTTTCAGGCCCGAGTTTGACTGAAATAACCTTGTGTTGCAGCTGATTTGGTCGAACCTTGAAAATAACATTATGCACACGCTCGTGAAATCACCACGTCACGGTCAAAGCGTGTGCTGTGAATCACACTCAGCTGCATTCACACCTAATTTAAGCCCAGTATTTGTAGAACTGACTTGATTAAAGCTGTTTTTTATTGTGCTTTGCAAATTGAGTTGGCTCCAAAAAAAATGATCATTACCTGAAAGTTTTGTAAAYGTTTGCTCTGTGGTTCATAAGGATATTTTGCTAACAAAGTCCCAAGTAGTTACTGGCAATATTTTCAACCCAAATCTTGCACATATTCTGTACTCAGGATGTGTTCGGTATCAATCTTAGCTATTAAAAAAAAAAAAAGACTGAATTATTGCTATTTATGGGTTTGATAAGATTGCTTTGTTGTGGCGGCCATCTTGAATTGGCTCTGAAAGTTTCRCTAAAATCCACTTGRTGATTCAGTACAGATAAWTACAGACACAGTAAACATTAATAACTATGTGATGCTAAACAAACCGGGGTGTAAACGTTTATAAATTAGCATCAAAGTGAACTGCTTTGAACATTTTTGAGATTTGAGTTGTTTAAGATGACAAAAAATTCACTTTGGTTTTAGCTAAATTGAAGCTAGCCGTTAGCTCATCAATCTGTTCAAAATAAAACCYGTTTCTCCAAACTGAGCTCACACGAARAGCTATCTAYAACAGGTAAGATATTCTTTTTTCAACCTTTCCACGGAGCCCCACTTTAAAATATCCGACCTATCGCTTTAAGAAACATCAGCGACCGTGCTGCCATCTGACAAAGCCGTTGGTGCGTCTCACCATCTGGAGCTATTTGACGATAGAAAAGAAAAATCAACCGATTGTGCAGCTTGGATGGTAAAGCCACTCTGTGGTTTGTTCAAACGACAGCACCACTTCCTGCGGTCTTCCTGAAACCAGGATCAAACTGGCTTGTTTCGTTAACAAAAACTCCCACCCCGACAATGTAAACATGGTTCCACTAGGATTGTCATTATTGTATTGCTTTCACTACACAAAGTTGCAGAAAGCTAGATTGTTTTTTTTTTTGTTATTTTTTTTTGTCTCTATAGAAACCTTTTTTCCTCTAATGGCCACTGTGCCTCAATAGGAATGCATCATTTTATAAATCTTTCATATGTGCTTGTTTTTTCTACTTTCCCGGTCCTATTTTTTTCTTTTTCTTTTTTTTAAGAATGACCCTCCCCCCCCATCGATCCTCTTCAATTTGTTGACTAATCAAACAAATCAACTCCTGAATCTGATCTGAGGACTAAACCTGAACCATAAATAAAATTTTAGGTAGATCCTGAGCGGGACAGCGTGGGAATACAAACAGGCGCTCATTCGTGTTCACATCTACACACACACACACTGTCCCAAAGCTGCCCCAGCTCTGTCGCCGCTCTGCACCCATCCTGTACCGTGATTGACCTCAGCTCTGTCTGACAGGTATGAAACAGGAACACAACTTTGTGCATAGAGTTAGATTCTGTTAGGAAATGCCTCTCRGTGTCGGATGGTTTTCGATTTACCAGCCCCTCCCCCTCCCTCCCGTCTTGTGCTCRTCTTAGCTCCCTTCCCCCACTGCACATGGAAATTTTATAAATTAATTTCATAAATGCCAAACTAATCTCTTCATAGAGTTTAAATGTTTGTTATAAGTTATTTTACTTTTCCTTAGATTGTAATGTCTATATTGTTTTTCTCAGCTTATATTCATTAGATGAATTTGTCTCCTTTCTGATTTTTTTTAAATGTATGTAAAATAATTAAAAACAACCTTAGAGTCCCTGCAAAAACCTCCAGTAACAAAAGAGGAGGTCGGCCCTTTCCCGTTTGTCTATTCAAACTCCTCCTCCTCCAGGTGGTTGGAGGTGGTGGGCGTGGCGGGTTCTGAGTCCCGCGTGAGGGTTCCCACGGAGACKATCTGCGGGGAGTCGGGCAGGCCCTCGGGGGCGTCGTCCTCCATGTCGTCGGTGGTGATGATGGCCACGGCGGCGCCGCCCTTCTTGTTCTGGTGGGTCTTGATGTGCTTGGAGAGGTGGTCGCTGCGCATGAAGCGCTTGGAGCATTCGGGGCACTCGAAGCGCTTTTCTCCTAAAGGTCGGAGGAGAAAATTAATTTTAAGAAAGTACTAAAAAATAAAACTGATAAAACGCTTTTAGTTTCAGTTTACTGACGGAGCTGTTCCCCTGCAGCTGTGTTTGTTTCTTCTAACCTGTGTGTGTTCTCCGGTGTCTCTGCAGCTCGTCGCTCCGGGTGAACCTCTTGCCACAGAAGATCCAGTTACACACAAATGGCCTCTCGCCGGTGTGCCAGCGCAGGTGGGCCCTCAGGTGGGACGTCTTGCCGTACACCTTCCCGCAGCCCTCCATGTGGCAGATGTGCTGCTTTTTCTTTGAGGGGTCCCCGCTGTTCCTGTAACACACACCTTTAGTTAGTCGGGAGGAAGCTGACTTAATAAAACACAACTGGATTTATTCCCTCGTATTTACATCTCAGTTTTATATATCACTTTTAATAAAATAGAACTTAAAGTTTGATAGAAGCAAGGATTCTCGTAAGTGAGGCTGCAGAAAGTGACAAATGTATTTCCGCTTTCCCCTTTAAAATCTGACACACTTTCAAGTCCTTTAAATGAGATTAAAAGCCAGTCTCCATCCGCACCTTCCTTCTCCGTCCCTGCAGTTTGGACATGAGCAGGCCACGCGTCTGAGCCTYTTGCTGGGCAGCCCCTCTTGGTCCGAAGAACTCTGAACGGAGCCCAGCTGGTCTGGACTCAGGGACGAACTTGAAGCCACATTGCCGACGGTGACGGTCACAGGAGAGGACTGAACTTTGACCCCGTCCTGACCCTGTGGTTGACCTAAAGGATTAATAAAAAGTTTATTATCAGGGTTCCTGCTAGGCCTGTCGCRATAGTCAATAAATCAATTAATTGCACGATAAATTTTTTTGAGGTCGGTAAAAAAAATGAGGACGATAAGTTTCATTTTCCTGCTTGTTTGTTTACTTCATCTCTCTCCCTCCCCGYGCTCCGCTACRCAGGAGCTCAGCTGACTCCTCCCCTCCTGTTTTCTTAGTGTGGGAGGAGTCAACTCTCGCATTAGCGTGAGAGCTCGTAGCAATAACAAACTAAAGAAACGTTTCAAAGCAGAACGTGGCTGCTGCAGTGTCAGAGCACTAGAGCCTGAATTTCGCTGCGGGGAGACACACAGATAGAGAGGAGGAGAATGGGGTGGGGGCTGAAACTCACCCAAACCAGTTTTTTGGGTGTTAACAAAACAACCAAAAAACCTGTAGCTGTCCCAACAACTCATGAGGAAAACTCCGAACTGTCTGCTTTCCTCCCCCGCAGCGCTCTGCTTTGTCTCCTCACTGACTGTCCCCTCCTCACACACACACACACACACAC